CCCCCCCCCCCCCCCCCAGTGGGCCATTCCCTGGAGTCCCCCTCCCACCCCATCACCACTCTTGGTAGAAGCAAGTATTAGAGGCACTTTTAAAACTGTATAAGTCACCTGCTGCACCCTTTTCTCCCCTCCTCTTCCTCCTCCCCGGCTCTTCTGGCTTCTTCCCCTCCTCCAAGGCAGAGACCCAGAACTACTGGGGGGGGGGGGGGGGGGGCCCAGGGGACCCCCCCCTCCGCCCCCCCCCCAAGCCTCCCTCCCATCCCCAGTGCGACAGGAGGAGGTGGGGGGGTCTTTCAGCGTGACCTCTGGTTCTCCTCAGGTGTCACCTGGGCTTCCCTTCCCCGGTCCCTTCCTGGGAGGGCGAGAGAGGAGGTAGGCACTGCAACGGAGGGGAGGGGGCCGGGAGGGGCAAACCAAACCGGAAATTATACCGGGCCTAATTTAGCCCACCCCACCCCCGACGTCCGCACGTTAAACCGGGGAGACTGCCACCTCCCCCCCCGTACATCAAAATATTGAACCAATATCTGAAGTTATAAGAATAATAAAAAAATAGGAAAATATTAGAACACAATAAGATGGTAAAGATTGTAGTGACAGTTTTTTTCTCCTCTATTCCTCTGGCTGCTAAGGAACGCTGGAGAAGGGCATTTGGGGGGGGGGGGGGGGAGGAGGAGGAAGGGGGTCGGAGGAAAACAAAAAAATTATTCACCTACCCCCGTAGTGACATACCCCTGGGGGAGGGGCTTGAAACAAAACAAAAAAAACGGAAAGGAATTGGGAGGAGAAAAAATAAACAGCCATCCTAAAGCTTCTCAGGATGATGCCCGCAGATCCAGCTTGCTCAGATGGTTGAGGTCTTGTCCGTGCCATCTGCAAGAGAGAGGACAGGGGTGAGGGGGCAGCATGGGGGGGGGGGCGCCCTGGCGGGTTGGTGGGGGGCGTTTTCTCAACGGGGGGGCGGGTGGGTGGGGGGCTTTGATGTCCTGGGGATCTTTGAATGTGTTCAGGTGGGGTGTAAACAGGTAAATACTAGAGTTGGGCTGTCCAACCTTGGCCGCTTTTAAAACTTGTGGACTTCAAACTCTCAGAATTGGAATTGAAGTCCACAGATCTGAAGTGGCCCAGGTTGGACACCCTGGGGGGGTTTAGAGCCGCCTTTGCACGGACTTTAAATCAAGGGTCTCCACCTTGGCCGCTTTAAGACTTATGGACTTCAACCCCCAGAATTCCTGAGCTAACATGGACTGGAGGAGGAACTCTGGGAGTTGAAGTCCACAAGTCTTAAAGCTGTCAAGTTTGAAGTTCCCTGATCTATCTATCTATCTATCTATCTATCTATCTATCTATCTATCTATGTATCTATCATCTATCTATCTATCATCTCTCTTCATACCTACCTACCTACCTACCTATCATCTCTCTTCCTACCTACCTACCTACCTACCTATCTATCTATCTATCTATCATCTATCTATCTATCTATCTATCTATCTATCTATCTATCTATCTATC